ATACTCCCATTGAATTCATTTCATAAGGCGGCTTTAAGTTACTCCATCCCAAATTGATAAAATCAGTGTGCAGATGGCGTGCTAGGAGAGGAGGGGATAAGATAATAAATATAGCACTGTTTGCTCATGCTCCCTCAAACAGACCAAAGTCCCTTGGCTTACAGTTCACCTATTTGTAAAAGAATGAAAAAAGCAATCGTGATGGGTTTATGTTGCATCCATTTATCTGTGGCATGGTAGTTAATGTAAAATACCATTAAGTCGTGAGAACTTCCTACCAAATTTCTGTCGAATGGACTTACCAGTCTCCACCTTCTCTGTTTATTTGTTTGGTGGCATAGTAAATAAAGGATGACGGTGGTGGTCTAACGTAAGAATAATAAAAAGTTCACTAAAATCCACAGCAACACCGTATGTTGATTCTCGGCCTTAAATTGTCTAATGCGCGCAATTTTTCTTGACTTAAAATTGCTACTTTCGAATGACATTCTCAAATTGGATTGTATATAGTCAGAAGTGACAACAACTGATGTAAAAATCACATGTATCAGCGATGTGTAAGAGATTTATAATTAAGCGTTGGATGTTTGGTACCATGAGCAATTTTATCTGTCATAAATGAAAACGAACATTCAGGTATGCAATCGGCACGCTCTTCAGCCCAATTTATCAGCCTCGGACTCACTATAAAGCTACTCCTTTAATTAAGAATCGTGGATGTTTACTGATTTCTATACTTAACATTGAATTCATTATGGATGTTGTTTAGTAATGAATGCTCTAAGAACAACTGACCCTTCCTCCACTAAACATGGCTCCCAAAAGACAAACTTAGAATTTTCACCGATTTTATTACAAACTAGGATAATATATTTACTTACTTTTTTCCAAATACCAAACCTCGAGGTTATCCACGATCTTGCACAGAGTCAAGCTTAACGCAACCACAGTTCTCGTATAACAGGGTTCGCAAATGTTTACTATTAAAGGTTTAGAACTTGTTTAGTCTATGCACGTGCAATCCTGATCCCGATTATTTCGGGTTATTTGAAACCCTTCGCCGAATTACTTAGTGGAAATCATGCATATATAACGGCTGCAACAGGATTAAATATAGCAAAACCATACCTTAACATTTTAATATGAGGTAAGTATCCAACAAAAGTCAGATTCCGCACAAACCTAAAAACTAATCCTCAAACGCAAAGGAAGACACCTTAATTTTGCTAGATTTATGTGATTTCCATATAGCTGTCGTCCCATATCTTTTCCCCGTTTTCCTATTAAAGCTGTGACTTGTGCCCATCATATATAACATTTCCATTAGAAATCATGTACCTTCTTAGCCATAGCATCAGTTCGGATTGCATCCCTGGCAAAACCTTAGTGTTGCCCTTTCAGCACTTTACTTATGGCAGTAAAGCGTTTCCATAAAATATCAAAATGCTTAGGAAGCACACTTAGTCAGTCTAATTTTTACCGAATTACAGCTTTTTTGTATCCAGGGTTATAGTCACATAACTGCCCATCTTGACATCCGCAACTTCACAAATCTCAAAGCTTTAGCTAATTTTTTCACCCTTTTACCAATTGTTCATCGCCCATATATTCCCTGTGCTGACTTGAGCAAAAACAATTCATTAGTTAACTTGTCATCACTTTAAATTAACACCAGGCATGAATGTCAGTTTGTCCAAAAAGGCAATCGGGTATGCACCTTATTCTACATCGTTTATTAATGGGAATTTAATTTAAAGACTAGCCAAACTAGTTTAAAATGGTTTCGCATTAGCGAATTGGAAAATCTAATTCAATTTTAGCTCTTCTTTAAGTAGTTATTAGTGTGAAGAGTCAAAATAGTTCTAATGGCTGAAAAATGGGAATCCTGAAATGCTATGTCAAAATCTTCTCACTGACTTCTACTGCCCCACTCTCATCAGCTTGCGACCATTTGGATCTCAAAGTGCGAACAAAACTTAATTGCGATACCATTTTACGTAGCGCCGATAGAAATCTCCGCTGGAGCAATAAAATGGAGTTAGGAAAAGCTAATGCGCCTGGCTGAATAGCCATTGCGCAGACCTGTCAATACTATTAAAAGGGAAGGAAATTTCGCCGAACCGGGATACGACGAAAACCGCTTAAAACGGATTGCATGAGAACAGGTGTTTTATTGGCTTTCATATTCCGAGACTTAAATCTTGAAAGCTTCCCCCAAGAAGAAAACACACATAAGTGTAAAATAGCTGCGCTACGTAATAACACTGGTTTCTATGTAATTTTGACAGCGAAAAACAAAACCACTGGGTGGTTTTGTTGGAGTAGCACGTATGCGCAAAAAAATGAGCAAAGTCAAGTAATTCAGCTTGGATCTGTTAAGTTCCAATTTTTAGCATGACTGAAAAGAAGAGATACATGTTTGGATGCGTTGCTGTCACAAGCGACTCAGTGCAGGCACCAGCATCGCCACCATCGTTTCGCCTTAATCCGGTGTGGAAGGAGTGCCAGACTTCCATTCCCAAGGAAGCCTGTCACTCCATTCCACCCTGAGCGCTTCAACTTTTGATGACTTTTCCAGTTCATGCCATTTGAAGGGTGTATAGCCATTGCTTCCTTGACGCTTTCAGTGGGACACACCACTATGCCGCATTTCTTAATTCATTCATTAATGTGCATGGTGGCTCGTGTTGTTATGTAGCACAACTACTTCATGCTCTCTGTTTGTTTGGGTGCAAATGCTAGTCTCTTTACTATTGAAGAAGTCTCTTCTGATCTTTCATTTATATTTTAAACCATTGTTATTCCAATGGTGCATTATTCAAGCAATTGTCATTTTAAGTGAAAGGCTTCAGCTTCTATTGCAACTGTGCTTTGCGTGTGGGTTGCAAAAAACAGCTTGCGATCATTGCTATAGCTGTAGGTAAAAGTCCCTTTTTGTTAAGGTCTGCGATCTCAAAATGATACCATTAAGCTATAAAATGACACAGGCCAAAAAATGACCACAGAGGTTTAGCTTGCACTAAGAAATGGTGTTTACTCCATAATGTGTCAACTCTACTTCTAGGAATCTTATAATTTCTTACATATGCAAGCTTTTCCGAATGGGTGATACGACGTGTCATTGGTAAAGTCAAGTATCTTGTGGATAATGTCCAAAATCCAAGACTCATAAATAGTAGCTCTAGCTTGTTAAGACAGGGTACTCTCTATCCAACGAGAGTGGAGGTGATACTGATGGAGATTTTCTAAAACACACTGGTGACAGTTGATCGTAGCTTTTGGCCTTTTACGAATAAATTGGGTAAATGGAACGCAAGACTATAGTGTAGACTGATTAAGAGATGAGATTTTATACTCGCTGCCATTAAAGAAAGCAATTATAAAATATTTGGCCATATTTGTACCTAATTCAAGGTGTATTAAGTGACGGCACTCAAAATCGAAAATAACTCTTTTGCCTGATAATATCAAGGCATTACAATCATTGAATTTGCTTTGAAATGCATAGGCGACTTTTGCTTTACCTTAAATCATTGGTAAGCACAGTTTCTCTGAAAATGATCTATCAAAGCTTGATTAGCGTAAATGAATAGGATACTGAGAAATCCAAACTATTGTCAAGCTTTCAAATAAATAACTCAAGTTTTGTTGACCAAATAGCAAAAGATGGATTGCCGCGATCATAAAATTTAAAGCGGATCCGTAGGGCATGTTTTAACATAAATAATTTGAATCGCTTAGCACTGAAGACAGTGTTTACTAGTTGATTCTCTCATAAATAAAGGTTTGCCCCAGCCGACATATCGGCAACATTTGCAAAAAACTCGTCAGTGAAGAGAGAGCCAAACACGTCTATATTTCCGAGTTTCTTGAAACGCTCAATTTGTTTGAATTTTGTGTGAAAAATGACTTTAGATTGACCAAATTCCAATAATTAGCTCAGCCCCACTCAAGCCACTGTCTAGTTTATTGCAATATCAATCACTTTTGAGCCGTTGAAGGGGAGGCATTCGCCCACCTTACAGGAACAAATCGATATTGATTAAAAAGTTTTGGTAGTGCTTTAATGAGGTTTTGGATGAGCTGGCAACGTAACTGTAAAGCATTTCGGACAACATAAACCCTTCCGACATTTACTGAAACAATTTAACTGCCAACAAGTGACCACGCCAAGGATGTTCATTGTTAATCTCCTCAGTCTGGTTTAACTGTAGGGGATATGGAACCTTCTAACTTTGAAGGAGGCTCGAAGAGGATGATAATCACCAAATATTTGGTCTGCTTTCAAAATAATGGAAAATCAGACTGACATTTTAATACCTTTTGGCAGTCTAACAACGCCATTTGTTACCAAAAAGACGAACAGTTGATCCTTCTTTACCGCGGAAGGCAACAGCTCATGTATACTAGGTTCGTCAGAAACCTACCTAGCTGAAGGAAAAGATGGCTTCTGAAAAACGTGCATTTACAATTTGAACTGTTTCAAAAATTCTCATGTAATATGGTTAAAACACTAAGCCCATTAGCGTGTCCTGAAGTAGACGAAAGAAAACGGTCCCAGTGTGGCTTTACGAGGAGGCCTGAGGATCCGCGCAGCTCTACGAGGAATGACAAGACCGTTTAGCTATTGGCTAGCCGAATGGCCAATGATATCATCCCCAAGGCCCATGAGGCGTGAACACGACGTGTGTGCGTACGTGTGTTAGCTTGCTATGGCGTTGATCCACGAGAGCACCGGTGACGGTCAGAGTGCAGACTTGCGCGCACACGCGAACATACGCACACGCACAAGTGCACGCAAATAACCGTGGTGACCATGTTCTCCACGCTGCAAAGGCAGGACTAATTGTGAAGTCGCTTAAAAACGAACCATGCTTATCGTCAATCTGTTTCTTCAAGACCCACGCCTCAACCTTTTTCTCTCCTTTCTCCTTATTTTCACACTCTTGGTCCCCATTCCCATTTGGGGCCAAAACAGCACGGAGTGGTCGCTTGCACGTCTGAAGCGTCAATACATCGATGGACCGGATCCTTTCCATTCGCTAGGTGGCGTTAATGAAGATGGTCAAGCAAGGGCCCCGCTAGTATTAGAGGTGACCCACAACCTCACTCTCACAAACGGGCCCAAGGGCAGGTGCGGAATATGCGCACGTACATATCGAGTGCTAAAGGACCTTCAGTACAAGCCCAGCGTGGAGTGTCAACGATATTCGAACAGTCGTCAAGGCGCTCTTGGAGATCTAACGGAATTCTATCACACGGTAAGCGTGGCGGTCTGCTTGAGCACCATTTTGTGAAGTTATGTTGAATGCTGTCCGTCCAACTTACTATCCTTTATAAGATAGAAAGGCAGCAAACACTACTCGTAACATTTTGATTTGCTTAAAGTGAAAAACTTATGTAGTTTTGAAGAAAATGGCTATAATTTTTACGGGTATTTAGTCCTTATTTTCTATTCTTGATTGAAATGGTCGCATTTACGCCTTTCTTAGGTCTGCAAGTCAGCTTAATCGAACAATTATTAAAAGAGACATTTGAGTTTA